GGGGGGGCAACCTCAACACTCCGGCTGATGTGGTGATGTGGAACTACAAGTCTCATCAGGCTTTGCCACAGGCATGACTCCCAGAGGCCGAGGAAAAGGGATGCTTAATACTCCTGCTATCATCAGCATCAGCATCTATACCAATCTAACATTAATTGACAGGCAGCAAAGCTAAGCCTATATAGCAGGGGTGGGCAAACTCAACAGTCCAGCTGTTGGGGAACTACAAGTCCCATAATGCACTGCAAGCCTCTAAAAGCTACAGGCATGACTGCCAGAGGACACAGGATGCATTTGGTATTATTATCATCACATATAAATGAAAAATGACTGATGGTTGTCTAATAAGCATTTGCTCTTTTCTCTTACATCAGATGCTAATACAATGGAAATAAGAAGGTGCATTTGGCACTAGAAGGAAATCTCACCTTTCGGAGCCCATTGGTAGCTTGATGATCCAATGTCCTCATATTGCAGGGGGCCATGTTATTGGATCTAGTAGTAGTCAGGCAGAGGTGTGCTGGGTGAGCCAGTTGATGTGTGTCTGCTAGTGAACAGCCCTGCTCTCTATATATACCCCTCTCTGTGCATAACAATATATGGAGAGCTGGCTTGCAAGAGGTTCCCACACTCAGCAGCCAATCACAGAGCGGCGGGTACAATGGACGTGTGTCACACAACAAGGTGACATCTGGAGCCTCTAATAGCAGAGGACAATACAGGATGCAGGGGGTAGTGTGGGAAAGACCCATGACAAGATACTATTACTCCTATAATGACACATTGCAACATTTATTGACACATTGATCCTCTGTATTTGGTCATTTCAGTTGGATTCATGCAATCTTTTTTATTTTTACACTTAATATACAAAATAGATGTATTTTCCAAACATTGAGAACATTCTGTACAAGATCATATGTAACAGTTTTACTTGCAATAATTGTTGCTTTTCAGATATGATTGCATTCATTGTCTCTTTGCTTGAAGTAACAATACAAAGTGGTAAGAGGCGCTACATGTTGGTAATGAAATAAAAGGTTCATAAAAATTCAACAGCTAAAGTAGCCTTCATGGTGTGATTTGATATTTTTAGATATTTTAATTCTAGTCTCTTTGTTTGTAGTAACAATACAAAGTTCAAAAGCTTTAAAAAGAGAATAATTATAAAGTATTATTTTTATGAACAAATATAATAAATCTTTGGAGGTGATTAGTGATTGGGTTTGATGCATTTCTCATCAATGTACTTAGCCAAACTGTACGCAATGATCTTTTTTAGGAATGGGAGTGGACAATGCCTTTAAATGTAGCAAAGCACATAACACGGAATGTGGACCTAAAAACACCTGTATTCTAATATATGGTCTACAGGAAAAGCCAACTAGACCAGAGTCCGGGCTTCCACTAATGATACAGATATCATAAGGACCCGAAGAGAGATACAATTGTTCGGGACACATCAGTACATGTATGTGGCTCTGAGTCACCTGACCGCACTGACCAATGAGAAGTGCTTCTGACTGCGGTGACCAATGAGAAGTGCTTCTGACTGCGGTGACCAATGAGAAGTGCCTCTGACCACGCTGACCAATGAGAAGTGCTTCTGACCACGCTGACCAATGAGAAGTGCTTCTGACTGCACTGAGCAATGAGAAGTGCTTCTGACCACGCTATCCAATGAGAAGTGCTTCTGACCACGCTGACCAATGAGCAGCCTCCCTGTACAAGGAGCGTGAGCAGCAGTGACCGGTCTTTATTACAGGAAGGGGCGGAGACAAGACCAGTCACCCTGCACAAGGAGAGAGGGCAGCACTGACTGGTCTTTATTAGAGGAAGGGGCGGAGACTATATTTTAATTCTAGTCTCTTTGTTTGTAGTAACAATACAAAGTTCAAAAGCTTTAAAAAGAGAATAATTATAAAGTATTATTTTTATGAACAAATATAATAAATCTTTGGAGGTGATTAGTGATTGGGTTTGATGCATTTCTCATCAATGTACTTAGCCAAACTGTACGCAATGATCTTTTTTAGGAATGGGAGTGGACAATGCCTTTAAATGTAGCAAAGCACATAACACGGAATGTGGACCTAAAAACACCTGTATTCTAATATATGGTCTACAGGAAAAGCCAACTAGACCAGAGTCCGGGCTTCCACTAATGATACAGATATCATAAGGACCCGAAGAGAGATACAATTGTTCGGGACACATCAGTACATGTATGTGGCTCTGAGTCACCTGACCGCACTGACCAATGAGAAGTGCTTCTGACTGCGGTGACCAATGAGAAGTGCTTCTGACTGCGGTGACCAATGAGAAGTGCCTCTGACCACGCTGACCAATGAGAAGTGCTTCTGACCACGCTGACCAATGAGAAGTGCTTCTGACTGCACTGAGCAATGAGAAGTGCTTCTGACCACGCTATCCAATGAGAAGTGCTTCTGACCACGCTGACCAATGAGCAGCCTCCCTGTACAAGGAGCGTGAGCAGCAGTGACCGGTCTTTATTACAGGAAGGGGCGGAGACAAGACCAGTCACCCTGCACAAGGAGAGAGGGCAGCACTGACTGGTCTTTATTAGAGGAAGGGGCGGAGACAAGACCAGTCACCCTGCACAAGTAGAGAGAGCAGCAGTGAGGGGTCTTTATTACAGGAAGCTCTAAGCATCACACTGGATTACTGCACAGATCTGGAAGAAATACACAAAGCTCATTAAGATTCTTGGAAGAATACACATGACTCTTGTATGAGGACAATATTTACTTATCCCGGAGTTAAGTCTTTACAATGAATGGTCTGACCCTGTAAGTGTGTGAGTGCTCCATTACCACCGCTGCATGCAGACAAACATATGGAAGGTACAGATAAGGTTAAAGGTTCGATCGTATAAAACAGTAAGAGACATTGTCTGTAGCGGGGAATCATTTCACAGTCGCACGTCTTTCCAGTAACTCACTTTAAATGTCCTTTTTTTCCCACGCAGATTGCCAGGATGCTGCATATGGCCGCTGAATGGGCACACTTCCTGTCTTTGATGCTGCAGGCAGTGATTCACACCCGCACGTCAAGCACACTTCACACGGCCCGCAGACACAGGTGCCTCCTATAACACAGACTGGACAGCCGGCCAACATACATTTGTCGCTCCCCGTCGCTGACGTGAATGGAAAACCAGCAGACAGGAAGCCTCAGCCAATCAGGTTGCAGACATTTGGGATTATTCCATAAACTGGGGCAGTGAGTCAGTGATATGAAACCACCCGGAGAAATATGATAGGGATGGGAAGATCTGACACAAAGCCCAAGATGAGCTCAGCCTGGCACAGTAGTACCGGTTCCTCTCCTGGACTGAAATTACTTATTCTGATTTCACTGCACACTGTGAGCTTATCACAATGTGCATCAGAAGCTGCAGCAAGTCAGACAGAGCCTAACTCGTGTCCTGGCTGGAGGACATCCAGCATCATCTAGCTTCTCCTCCGCAGCCTGACTGTCCATGGGCAGCCTCTTTGATTCATTGATGAATGAAAAGACTACAAAACACCTTCGCCTCTTCTCCTCTCCGTCACCTCTGGGTTCTATAGTTTGCAGAAGAGAACTGTGGGTCTTGCCAGAAATCCAAAGCTGTACCGTTATCTCAAGCAGTGTTATCAGCCCAGCCCAGGTCTCCTCTGTGAACTACAGAACTAATTTCTTCTAGGATATGGGGGTGAGAAGAGCGGCCGTGTTCTATAGTTTTAACATACTTCCTGTTTTAGGGTGACAATGCTGTGTTACATTTGCACATTATTTAGCATGTCTTAAAAGCTGAAAATCCCTGCAGTGTCCCCCTCTTAGTGGCATTACAAGGGGAGTGTGGTGACACCATCAGAGGGGGTGACACCAAAATGACTGACCCCTTAAAACTTGGGCACTGCATTATGAACCTAAGCTCAACAGCGGCATGAGAGAGAGGGGGGGACCTGCCGGCATGCCTGATCCCACTGGGTCAATATCCATTCCCCTCTTTGCTGGCGTCCATCACCAAGATAGCCATCGGCAGTGAAGTACATCACCGCACATGCGTAATGACGTCACACCACAGACATCATAACGCATGCGCTGCGGCCTCACTGGGTGACACCCGCCCTGGTGCCTCTGCTGCCCCCTCTCTGCACTGCAGGGTTTAAATGCGCATTAAGTCTGGGTCCTCTACATAACCCAGAGGGAAGGTGTTTTATAGTTCACAGAGGAGATCTGGCCTGGGCCCATAGCACTGCTTGAGATAAGAGGACAGCTCTGGATTGCAGGGTGGCAGAAATCCAGAGCTCAGTTTTAACATGGACACATGATGCCAGGTCCACTTGTATTGTGTTGAGTTGTAAGGTCCCTACAGATGGGCAGCCATTAAACCAGAGGTGGGCAAACTCGCCCCCCCCCTCCCTAGCTGTTGCACAACTACAAATCCCATGAGGCATTGCAAGCTTCTCACAGCCACAGCCATGACTCCCAGAGACAGATGCATGCTGAGTTTTGTAGTTTCACCACAACAGGAGGGACAGAGTTTTCCCACCCCTGCACAAAACCATTAATTCTATGAACCACTGTTGGGCAAAAATGTATGACTGCCACTATGGGTGGAGGAGGGGAGCGCTGTAGGTACTGGTTTGCCGTGGCGGTGTCCCCAGGGCAGGAAGTGAGAAGTTGGGTGTTGCTCCATTATTAATATAAGACAAAGCATTGGATTTAATGAGTTGATTTGATTTTGTTGCATCCTGTTTGGATTTTGTAAAGTGCGTTTTCTTTCACGCTGAGTATTGACAAAACAGAAGCCATTGTCAGTATTTCATTTCAATGTGGATCATTAGACGATAAATGAAGTTCCTTGGTTCTTGTATAGAGGGATTCCGCTTTTGATATGGAAATAGTAAGATCTTCACCTCATTCACACATGATGGCAGTTTGGAAGTGATACCATCACATAGGAACTGAACCAATAAATACAGAGGTAGGGCTTCTAAGGTGCCTATAAAAGGTATTCATTAAAACAAAGTAGAAGCAAACATCTTCTGCAAACCACTAATACTGCCACCAAATGCCAGATGGTCTGAACATTCCTACCAAAATATGCAGCAGTCCGTGATTGAACAGGTGACTTGTTGCATAAATGCGATTGATGCTGGAAGTGGGTTGCATCTCAATGCATTTCACCTAGATGGCTTCTTCAGGTGGAAGAGGTTCACACTAATACGGTAAGGCCACACAAGGAGGAAGCCTCAACATCGGAAGTAGACATCACCCCTATGAGGGTGGGGGGCTACAGGGAGGGATAGTTCCAGAGCACCAGCTTTCAGGAGCGCCTCTCCAATATCTTTCCCTGGTGGTCCAGTGGCCTCCACCCTACATGTGGTTAGTCTTCACCTGTTCAATCACGGACTATTGCATATTTGGATATGAACATTCAGACCGTTTGGGAGCTGCTGACTATATTTGTGGTTTACAGAAGATGTTTGCAATTTGACACTCATCTCAGGATCTAAATCTGAAGAATACATTAAAGTAC